AGGATGGGGAGATGGGGACAGGGCTGCAGAGCCGCAGGGAAGCGCTGATGGAGCTGAGATCTCCATCCAGTTGGTCCCTGAGGCGCTTCTGCAATGGGAGGCTGCTGGGGATCATCATGGCTGGCTCTGGCAGGGGTTGGGATCCCGTTCAGCTGTCCCTCTGTCCCCACAGCTGCTGGAGGTAAACAAGCAATGGGATCAGCACTTCCGAGCCACGAAGCAGAAGTACGAGCAGAAGGTAGGGCTGGGTGCTCGGGCGCCACAACTCTGCTGGGCACCACCTGGGAGGGACACGGAGGAGACTGGCTATGGGGGAAGGTTTTGGGGCTGCTGCACCTGCTTCCCCACCACTGTGGGTCCCTGTGGGCAGACCAATGTCCTCACTCCCTCCCGGCAGGTCACGGACCTGCACCAGGAGCTGGCCGAGGCCCGCAGGGCGCTGACGGAGCTGGAGGCGGAGCGGGAGCAGAAGCAACGGGATTTCGACCGCAAGCTGCTCCTGGCCAAGTCCCGGATTGAAACGGAGGAGGCGAGTCCCTTGGGAAGGATGGCAGGGAGCTGCCAGCCCTCTCGCCCTGCCCTGGCTGATCCCCCCTCCCTGGGTGCTGCAGGCGGAGAAGGAGAGGCTGGCCATGGAGGTGAGGGACCTGCAGCAGAGGATGCGGTTCCTGCAGGAGCAGCTGGCGCCAGTCACCAGGCAGCGGGAATACCAGGAGAAGGAGATTCAGAGGCTGAACAAGGTGGGGACCAGGGCAAAACCTCTCCCTGCAAAATGTTTGTGTTCTCTGGCCTTTTTTTCTCCCTCAAATCCCAAACTGACCCTGATCAACCCCTTCTTGCCCAGCTCCTTGCCCAGGCAGGAGCTCATGTCGGATGATGCCCATCCCCTCGCTGTAGGCTCCCCAGAAAGGGGGGTGTGGGATTCTGTCATCCCTCTTGCTCTTGCCCAGGTATACCCGCTTCCCATGCTGGGCATGTGCCCATGGCCCTCTGGAGATGTCAGGGGCACAGCACCTTGCTCTGACCCCCCTCCCTGCTCCTCCTCTTCCTCTCCAGGCGCTCGAGGAGGCCCTGAACGTCCAGGCCTCCCCACCACCCATCTTTGCCGGCACCATGGACCCAGTGGGGCAGATGCCACAGCAGGAGCTGCTGACGCAGAATGAGCTCCTCAAGCAGCAGGTAGTGCAGGACGTGGGGCTGCTGGAGGCAGGGAGGGAGCTATGTTTCTGGGGCTTGGCATAGCTGGTGGAGTCAGGGATGGCAACACAGTGATGGGGGGATGCTTGGAGGAGGTGTCCCCACTCAGCCAGGTGCACCCACACACCTCTCTTCTCCCAGGTGAAAATTTTTGAGGAGGACTTCCAGCGGGAGCGAAGTGACAGGGAGAGGATGAACGAGGAGAAGGAAGAGCTGAAGCAGCAGCTGGAGAAGCTGCAGAAGCAGCTGGTTCTCTCCAGCAACCAGGTGAGTAGCTCTGGGCACCATGGGCAGCAGCCCGGGAGCCCCATGTCCCCCCCAGGGTATGTCAGAGGTGTACTCATCCCCAGTGCCACAACCCCTGTACCCCTCTCGGAGCAGGGGCTGAGTGGGGACAGAAGGGCTAGAGCAGTGGTTTTGCTCCTGCCAGAGCATCT